CTCAGGGTGGTGAGCTCAAGCCCCAAGTATGGAGTAGAGATCACTTTAAAAAAAGAAAATGTCAGGGCGCCTGGGTGGCTCAGTGGGTTAAGCATCTGCCTTCCGCTCGAGTCAGGATCCCGGGGTCCTGGGATCGAGTCCCACCTCGGGCTCCCTGCTCAGCAGGGAGTGTGCTTCCCCCACCCCCTTCCCTGGCTTGTGCTCTCTCTCGCTCATTCTCTCTCAAATAAATAAATATAATCTTTTTAAAAAAATAAAAAAAGCAAGACACCCAGCAGAGTTAGAATTTCAGGTCAACAACACGTATTTTAAACACATAAGTATGGCCTACGTCTTACAGGTGTACTTAACGCTAAAAAGTCATCCCTTATTTATCTGAGATGCAAACTTCACAGGGCGTCCTGTATTTTATCTGGTGACCCTTGTCAGCCTATAGACCAGGCCGCCCCAGCCCCTCACAGGGGCCTGGCAGGAGAATCTGTTGGTGGGGGAACAGAAGCAGCCTTGCAAGGCTCGAACTCCCCACCTGCGGACAGGGTTAAGCTAAGACTTTTAAGGGGCCCGAAGCGGCGGGAAGGAAGGTGACCCGCCTAGAGGAGACTGAAGAGGAGGAATCCCAGGGGATGGGGGTGGGGGGAGGCATGGGGGACGTGGTGGTGGGAGACAAGAGTTGCGCTGGGGCTGAGGCCAGACCCTTGGCCTGGGTAATGGGGGCACAGGGAGCCCTACTGCCCAGGAATGGAGGGTAGCAGATGATGGCGACAGTAACAGTGTCCTTGCCCATCTGGACACACAGATCTCCCTCCTTCTTTCCTGGACTCAAGGACAAGCAGTCACCAAGACTCAGACAGGCAGGACTCCGTGCAGGAGCTCCAGGGTGCTGGACAGCCGCCAGAGCCCACCCACATCCTCAAGTGCCGCCTTCTTTCCAATTCCTGTGGAAAAGAGCAAAGCCATCCCCAAATAAGGGCACACCCCTGTCGGCACCAGCCTCTGGGGACGGTCCCTCTAGAAAAGGAGATCCTGCTATAAGCCGCCAGTGTGGGCCAGGCAAGGCAGGCGGCCCCCGGGCCCCAGTGCAGAGCCACTGCTCAGGGCAGGCCCCTCCAACTGCCACCCAGCTAGGGGACCCCTTGTCAGCAGGAGCCATTTCACGCCTGGCACCCCAGTACCTCTCGTAAGGCACCTCACTTTCATCGTCTGTGGTGTTTGGTTTGGCCCGGCCGGCAGGCCCCCCCGGCGGGGCGCAGGGGCCGAGGGCCCTAGTGGGCCTCAGGCAAAGCCAGTGTCAGCATTTCGGCCCCGCCAGGTGCAGCTGCAGGAAGCAGGTGGCCTGGCCCCTCTGGGTGCCTCTCCAAGTGACCCCTACCTCCTGGGCAGTTGTGAGGACAGAAGGGACGTTGCCGTACAAGTTTAAACCTTGCCCAGTGGACGCGGCTCTCACTCACACTTACCTGCTTCCAGGTGGGCTGCTCTGAGGGAACCCTGAGGACACATCCCTTGAGGATCCGAAGGTGCCGCAAGGTATCACTGTCCCCACCAGGAAGGCCCCCTTGAGGACCATTCATGCAATGACGTTGGCATGTTGTGGTGCCCACTCAGTGACCCCCCAATAATCCAGGCTCACAGAATTCCAATTTTGCTCAGGTGTGTGGCACCCTGTGTCAGGGAGGGTGATCTCCACTCCCAGGACCAGTCATGGGAGACCCCTCCGTTCCCTTTTGCCAGTGGCGGATTGGGCAGGGGCGGGAGACACCATTTTGGCCAATGGGATACAACCTGAGGGGGCTGGGGGTGGGTTCTGGGAAAGGCTTTTGACCTGTCTTCGAATGCAGATGTTCCTGAACATAAACGTGGTGATCCTTGTTTAGTCCGCCATCAAAAAAATATATGCGTAAACTCCCTTTGGCTAAGATGCATTTGAGGTCTCGATGCAGGAACTGATTTCTAAACTTCATGGGACAGGAAATATTTCGTTGCTTTTCAAATAATAAATCATAGCAGGTGGACTAAATGGCATCATCCTGAGGAGCAGTGCTCCCCAGGATGCTCCTCCTTCCCCACGGCAGGTGGAAGATGGCAGAAGATCAAATGAGAGTTGGAAGTGCAGGCTTTGGGGCCAACCACTTGGGTTCAATTTCTCACTTTGCCTTCTCCGAGCTGAGTTATCTCAGGCAAATTGTTTAACCTTCTGTGCCTGTTTCCTCTTGGCAAGATGGCCTAGTATTTCCTTCATTCAGCGGTGTCCCAAGCTCTTTGGATCAGCGTGCCAGCACCCAGCCATCCCACTCACCACCGCATTTGGAGGGAGATAGCTCTCGTCTGCAAGAGGTTTGGCTTGTTCTTAAGCGGGTCCCACAGGACGCCCGGCCTCCGCTGATTAGCCAGGGACAGGCACCTGAACAAGGGCAGCTAACTACTGGTGGGTTAGTGACCCGTGGAAGGATCCGGTGTGAAAACCAGGGCCCAAAAGGCAGGATGAGGAGGCCCAGTGGTAGGCCAATCTGATTCTCCAGCTTGGTAATTATAACTAGGAAATACAGAAAGATTTCACTGGTTATTAATGGGAGGACACACAAGATGGTGGTGGGGAGAAAAATGGCCACGAAGCTTGTGTTGCTTTGTTATAGCAGCAATCGGAGACTAATACGATGGTGTAGCAGAGGTACGTTAGGAGCTCATCACCAGAGAACGGATTTGACCCCAGCCTTAAGGGGGGTGGGAGGGGGGGACACAAAATAAGTGCTTCCTTGGGGCCGGAAAGGCCTGAATTTAAGAGAGGCCTCTCTTTAAGGAGTTAGGATCTGAAGTCAGCATAGAAGTCGGAAATCTCAGGGGCGCCTGGCTGGCTCAGTCAGAAGAGCATGTGACTCTTGATCTCGGGGTCGTGAGTTTGAGCCCCATGTTGGGTGTAGAGGTTACTAAAAAATAAAAAATAAATTTAAAAAAGGTTGAAAATCTCTTTTTGTCCAAGTTACCCTTGAGAAGATCTTGAACATGGACAAAATCTCTCTCGAATGAGCCCAACATGGTCAAGTTTTCCCCTGGGGATGGGATGAGCGTCGGCCGAAGGAGCTGGCTTGCAGTTAGGGGCCACACTGTATCCAAAACAAACAAGCAGGCAAGCGAAGACAGCTTAGAACAGGGAAGTTACGCTCTGTCCTGAGTCACCCCCACAAGGGGAGGCTCACAGGACCCCAGACCATCAAAGGGAAAGACACCCAACCCCTGCCTCACGCTTGCTCTGGGCCACCACACAATCACTGATGGGAACGACAGGTGGCAATAGTCACACTTTTTTTTTTAACCTTATTTTGTCCCCCATATGTGAGTTGGAAATGCCTCTCCAGGACTAAGCGGGACCCATCTTCCTCCGCCACGAGCCTCCCCGCGTCTGGGATGGCCCGCCCTAGGACTGTTCCTGGCAACTGGTCCTCGAGGTCCAAGGGGGTCTGAGACTCTGCCTTCGTCCTGCCCTTGACGTGTCCTCTCAGGCAAGGTTCCTTCTCTGGCCGGATGTGTCTTCTAGGACAAGGCTTTTCAAAAAGGTGGCCATGCCTTGTGAGGTTGTGTGTAGCAGTAAGGACAGCTGTGTGGCTAACTTTTCCCATGTTCCATTTTCGGTTTTGCTCCGTTTTTCTGATACAAGGGTAATGACACATTTAAGGAGTGGTATAAATAGTAACCCAGATGGACAAGTGGGAGCGGCCACGGGCTCTGTGGCCAACCCTTGCGAGATGTCCAGGCCAGATCTTTTTATGGCTTATTTTTTATAATCTAGAACAATCTCACTGAGGTTTTGGTACGGCAGGTGGGTTAAGTTAGATTGCATTCATTTAAAGAGTTGGGGAGGTGAGATTCTGCTTGGAAATGTGTTGTGTCACTTTAGTTGTTATAGCAGCGAATGGATGCGACGCTAGCGAAGAAAGAAGGGAAAAATGACGAAGTCTTCGATCAGGTTTCAAGTTTCTCCCCAGGGTCTTTCTATCTGTAGTTCTGGGATTTTTACCATCACGTTGGAAAATGCCGGAAAGGGCTGTTCGTGAGACCGGCCACGGCACTGAAACCCAGCTGGGTGCTGAGGCGTCTAGCCCCCGAAGCTCAAGGAGGAATTCCAAACTGAAGCGAGAGTTCGTGGTAGCTGGATGTTTCCACCAATGAATCAAAAACGACTTATCCTGCAATAATTATGCAGGAGGCTGAGGCATCATGAGCAAGTAAGTATGTGGCTCTGCCTTCAGGGAGCTGAGTGAAGGGGGACAGCCGGACAGCAGAAGCATCAGAAGCAGAGAAGGGGGCTGGCTGTGCCCCAGGGGGGCTCAAGGGGGGCAAGGCCCCCCGGCCTGCGGTTCCCAGTCCTCCACGGGCATAGAGGACCACTGGCCACCGACTGTGGGACATCAGATGCCACTCTGAGTCAGGCACTGTGGAGTCCCCCTTGCTCGTACCCGACTCCACACACGGGCTGTGTCAATGCACAGGACACGAGTTGGGGGTATGTGCTTCCTTCACAGAGGGGTCCAGGCCCACAGAATGGGAACCCTCCTGGTGGGCCCCAAATTCTGGGAGGGATCAGTTTGCAGGCGCTGAGACACCGGCCATCCGTCGAATGCGTGTGCGTGTGCGTGGTGCGGGCAGACTGAGTGAAGGTGGCTGTGGGTAATCAGCTGTTGGATCTGGTACCTTCTCCCATTGCCTGAGAGCCCACAGAGGAAAATGAGCCGTGGCTGCCGTTCTGGCTCGGTGCGTGGTAAGCCCTTATCAGAGACTGCAATTCTCAGAAGACGGGAGGGTCCCTCCGGAGACAAAGACCAGTGACAGTGGATCTTCCCCGGGAGGCGGGAGAAGTGAAGATTCTCGGGCCGAGAGCGGGCAGCCTCCCTTCTTCTCTCCTGTGGGTAGGGCCGGCCACCTAAGACACCAGGGAACCAGGGCCTCCCACGATGTCTCAAGAGCCATGGGCATGCACAGCACTCTAGGGTCTGAATGCACCGGGCATCCCGCGTCTGTTCAAGTTCACCTGAACTCTGTCTCCTCAACCTTGGCGCCCTCGCCACCTCTGGTTTCCAGGCCCGGTCTGGGCTCATCTGCACAGCTCTGTAGCACCCCGTGTCAACCCTGAACGGTCACTCGCCCAAGTGACCGCAGTCCCAGCAAGAGGGCTGTGAATGCGAGGAGGCGGAAAAGCCATCGGGACCCCAGTCCTTTCCGGAAACTTCCAGTAACGCCGCCGGCAAGAGCAGCTCAGTGGGCATCACGGCCTAACGAGGAATAAAAGACGAGAAGGTGCTAGTTGGAATGGAGGCTTAGGCATTCTGATAAAGGAGTAACAGTAAACGTCACTGGGAAAAATTCACAATCAGACCGAAACAAAATATATTTATTAGAAATATTACACAGTCATACATCATACACTTCTCCATGTTAATAGTTAAATACATCCATGTTGGCGTGTCACGTCCTGGATGTGCTCTTGTAGGAACGAGGCCACAGATGTATCAACTGCATCCAACTAATGTAGTTAAAATTAGGGAGCTACGGAGGATGTTCCAGACTTAGCCAAAGTCTAACCTGGGTCAAGAAAAGTGAAACACCCAGGGAGCTTGGGCAAAGGAGATATTAAAAATACTTTTTTAAAAAGGTAGCTAAGCTCTATATCTCTTACTGCATGTCCTTGGTGGCTCATCTCAAAATGGCACACAAGCTTGGGAATGGGAGAAGCTGCAGCTGGATTTGGCAAGTGGTTGTGCAGAGAAGGGCCCGAGTCCCCTCCTTCCACAGGCCAGTGGGACACCTGCCCTCCACCCCCCCATGGGGAAGTGGGAGAAGAAGCTTCAGAGAAATGGCCAGTGTTGTCTGGGGGAAGAGAATCCTGCAGATATTCGTCACCTCCAGATGGCTAATTGCTTTGGGATGCTTCGGATGGTCTCAACAAAAGCTCCAAAACAATAGCTGAATGAAGAACGAAAACCAGAGACTAACCTCATTTCTGAAGCAAGAAGGAATAGGACAAGAGAAGTGGGTGTTTGCCGGGTTCCTCAAAACAAGAACCCTGGGGAGCAGGGCCATGGTGCTAACCCTCAGCCAACAGAGCTCCTGTCCATGGAAGATCTCACAATGATGAAAACCATGGACCTCTCTCTAGGTCTTTAAAAAACTCCGTTCTTTTGGGCCTGGCATTTTGCATCTATCTTTTCTAGAAGAACAATGCATTAAAAAAAGGGGGGGGGGATCTGCAGAACCACTGCATGACTTTAAATGACTACTGGCTGAAGGGAGATGAGAACAAAAGTGGATATTGCAAGCCTCAGGACAGAAAACTGGAAATGGTACAATTGGCTGACGCGACCTTGTTTTCTCAATTGATCAATTTTCCACGTTCACCTTGTGCTTGGAGCGCTCTGGCTAAAAATGGATCTGAAAACCCCATCCTGTGGCCCAGCCCCAGGGCCCGGACAGCATCCCCCCGACCGCCAGGTCCCCTAAGTGCTGGAAGGCCTGGTCCTGCAGCCCAGCCACCTTCAGTCCCTCTCCCGGGACCCGGCAGGGAGGGCCAGACGGGCCCCTAACACCACTTGTGTTTCTATGAGCAGGACACATGCTTCCCCTTCTAGAAGCATGCCCACTGGCAAAGAAAATGGTAGCCAAGGAGCTTCTTTGAGTTATAAAAATAAATGGCACATGACCTTTCTTTTATAGGACATTTCTTTCCTTCTTTTTCCCCTAAAGGGAGCAGGCTCAGCGTAGGGCGAGGGGAAAGAGCACCACGACCACAGTGCATGACACTGCTTGGCCGAGAGCTGGATCATCTGACTCATTTACAGTAATCACTAAAAACAGGGTGCCAATAACGCTGAACACCCCCTCCAGGTATCCCAAGCACCTCAACTGCCTCTCCCACACAAACCCTGCAGTAAATCCAGATTAAACACATAGACCGACAGTTCAACCCAACTCCTCGGGATATTACCTTCCCCCACTGCAATGGAGAGCAAGGCAGAAGCTCCGGGGTAATGAAAACTCATCAGTTATGTCAACAAAGGACAGACACGTGAAGCAACACAACGGGAGTACTTTCCATTTGGATATGTGCATCAGGAAGGAGTAAATTAAATTTGTTCAGACTGCGCCTCTGACTCCCATGTGAAAACAAAGGAGCCACTGAGTGGGGGGGGTCACCTTTACCAAACTGCCCAGCCCCAAGCTGTGCTCACGGCCCCACCCTGGGGAGCGAGATCAAAAGCGGTCTCTCCTCTCAGGGGTTGTCAGGGGAACTCTGAAAATATACAGACTAGATCCCCGCTCCCGTTGTTCCAGATGCTCTGATTCAACGGATGGGGCAGGCCAGGGGTGTGTGCTTTGAACCAGCTCCCCGGAAGGTTCTGACCTGGAGCCACAAAGGAGAACCCTCAGCAGGCAATGGGTGGAGGCTTGAGAAGGAGGGATGGACCCTCCGCAGAGCCCAGCAGCCGCCTCTCCCGAGGTGGTCCGGAGGGAGGGGCTAACACATGCCTCTTCCGGGACAGGGCCTGGGCCGCCAAGCAGCCATCCCGTAACTGCCAGTGACAGAGGATAGCGCAGCCCTTTGGTGCTGACGAGTCACCTGACTGCCCAGGGGAGCCACACCTTCATGGGCTACGCAACGTGCATCCACGTGCCCACCACGAGCACCTGCCTGGGGTGCCCACTTGCACTTCTGAGCCCCCTCTCCCTCCGGGGCTGTTCTGGCGGGAGCTCTGCTGTCGGCCCTTACAAGAGAGCAGACGTGGAGCCATCTCTGCCCACCCCTCAGGGCTTGCTTTGGCCCTGCAAATGCGAAGGGCCTGATGGGGCACTAAAACCCAAGTCCAGAGTTGAAATAGTGTTCACATTTGCTGTCTGCCTGGTATCCCCAAACATACACACCTCTTCGGCCTGTGTGTGCAAACACACGAAGACCTGGGTGGGCAAGGGAGGACCGTTCTGCACCGGGCCGAATGTGTGTGGGCTTTCATGAAGGGCAATGGGAATGAAGGGGGGGGAGAGGGGATGACGACACACAAAGGGAGGGGGCGACAGTGGCTGACGTCTCCCTTTCAGCACGGAGGTTCTGAGCGTGAGCATGTGCAAGCACACAGATGCACACTTCTGTCTGCGGACCACCCCACGGGGGGACACCGCCCCCAGCGACCCAGGGGCTGCTTTGTATTCTCACACCTCTTCTCCTCCATCCAGAGATTCCAATCAGTGACAGCGAGATCTAAAAAGCGTGATCAAGTTCTAGGTGTCACAACTATTGTCTAGCACGCAAGCACGTTTCCGCAAAAAGAAGGGCTCGTGGGTTTCCAGGCGGTGCGAGACCGAAATGTTTGTCTTTTTGCATTTTGCTGTGTGTTTCTTTTTTGGAGGGGGTGGGCGGTGGCAAGGGCAGAGTTTTTCTAAAGGCAGGAGCCCGGGTTTTTAGTGAAAAGATGACTGCTTTGGAAGTGCTGTTGGTGGTGGATCCCGGCAGCTCACGGGTGAAGTTGCACTGCGTGACCTGAGATGTCCTACTGGGTTCTCGTGGAGGGAGCCTGGGCTGAAGGACAGAGGCCCATGCAGGGAGCAAAGCTTCCCCAGCTGACACTCCAAATGCATCTGGATTTAAAGCGGATGTGCGGCGGAACTCCGCTCCGTTTCTTGTTTGCGTGTTGGTCCCCCTGGATGGAGCGCTGTGGGCGGTGGTGGATGGAGCAGGGCCTGTGGAAAGTGACCAGGTGCTTCGAGGACCAGCTGCAGGCTGGGGTGGGCGGTGTCTCTCGGGCCCTTGGGCTTTACGTCTCAAAGTACTTGTAGATCTGGGCCACGTACTGCATCACGCTCTGCCAGTCGGGCCGGTCTGTGTACAGCATCTCACTGAGCTCCTGCAGGAGAAAAGAAGAGGTCACGCTGGGGACACCACAGACCGCCCCCGACCTTCCCACAAAGGGGCTTGGCTGCAGGTTGGGGCTGGTGTTGCCTAGAAACCCTCCTCCACCTGCTTGGACAGAAGGTGTAGGCAACACTGAAGTGCTGTTAAATGTGATTTAAGTTAAAAGTGTTTTATTCCTATTTAATCAAGAGATGCCATCCCTTAAAAAAAATTTTTTTTAAAGATTTTATTTATTTGAGAGAGGATAGTGAGAGAGAGCATGAGGCGGGGAGGGGCAGAGGGAGAGGGAGAAGCAGACTCCCCGCTGAGCAGGGAGCCCGACGTGGGACTGGGTCCCAGGACCCCAGGATCACAACCCAAGCTGAAGGGAGATGCCTAACTGACTGAGCCACCAGGGCATCCCGAGATACTGTCCCCTTTAAAAAACATTAGGCATGACTTCCTGCCCCTTTCATCTTTTTTTTTTTTTAAAGATTTTATTTATTTATTTGAGAGAGAGAGAATGAGAGAGAGCACATGAGAGGGGGGAGGGCCAGAAGGAGAAGCAGACTCCCTGCCGAGCAGGGAGCCTGATGTGGGACTCGATCCAGGGACTCCAGGATCATGACCTGAGCCGAAGGCAGTCGCTTAACCAACTGAGCCACCCAGGCACCCCCCCTTTCATCTTAATAACATGACAGCATTAAAAAAATTTTGTAAAGAGAAAGTCATCCATAACTCCATTATCATAGGATGATTTCCATTTTTCTAAGTTATATTGGAATGTGCACCTTTGTTCTCCCACACTTCCATCACGTGGATGTACTAGCGTGTGCTCTGTGCTTTTATTTTATTATTTTTTTTAGGGGGGTGGTGGGAGGGGCAGAAGGAGAGGGAGAGAGAGAATCTCAAGCAGGCTCGATCCCAGGAGCCTGAGATCATGACCTGAGCTGAAATCGAGTCGGACGCTCAAGCGGCTGAGCCGCCCAGGCGCCCCTATGGCTTTTCTTTTCTTTTTCTTTAAATTAATTTATTTATTTGTCAGAGAGAGAGAGAGCACAAGCAGGGGGAGTGCCAGGCAGAGGGAGAAGCAGACTCCCCACTGAGCAAGGGAGCCCGATGCGGGACTCGATCCCAGGACCCTGGGACCACGACCTGAGCTGAAGGCAGACGCCTAACCGACTGAGCCGCCCAGGTGTCCCCCGCATTGTGCTTTTTCACTTAACGTTCTCCATACACAACTTGACAAGTGAATGTACTGTGTCGCTGGCTGTCACGGCAGTTAAGGCTCACGGTCCAAGGAACGGCTGCCCCACAATCGACATGACATCTAATGCGACGTGTAGCCTGTGTTCACTTCTTCACGTTACAGACTTTACGGTAAGCATCTTTGTGGCGTGTTGTTGAATTCATGGCTTGAGATGAATTCTCACGAGTGGGATGACCACAAAAGCCCTGAACCAACTGAACATGCAACCACTGTCTTATCAGGATTAAGTGTTAGACCATTTAACGTTTGTTGTTGTTGTTGCTCTTTCTCCCCTAGTTTCGTAGGTGATCAGCAAGGAGACAGTGGAGACCAGAGCATGACAGGCAGGAGGGCTGGCTGCTCTCTATCAAGCAGCCAGTCAACTGTTCCCAAAATGTCTGCCGCAGAACATATTAAATAATTCACTTGGGGATTGAATTTGGATTCTTTTGTGTTCACGAGAAAACAGTAGGAAAGGACTCTGATGTAAAGCCAGGAGCAGGGATGTGGTGGAAAAGCAAGGTTGAACTTACTTAGCATATCTGTTCTTGGGTGGTGACAGAAATGTGACCTGTAACCGGCCATTTATTTTGTTTCTACGACACCTAAATATCTTTTACGAGTTTTGCTTTTTTTTTTTTTTTTAAAGATTTTTATTTATTTATTTTGAGACAGAGAGAATGAGAGACAGAGAGCATGAGAGGGAGGAGGGTCAGAGGGAGAAGCAGACTCCCTGCCGAGCAGGGAGCCCGATGCGGGACTCGATCCCGGGACTCCAGGATCGTGACCTGAGCCGAAGGCAGTTGCTTAACCAACTGAGCCACCCAGGCGCCCCACGAGTTTTGCTTCTTGATTGTGCTGAAAAAATGACCAGCTTAGCAATGGCAAGGATGTGTCTTCTGTCTCGGAGAGGACGCGGGAGTCCGATCAATATTCACAGCTCTACTCAGACTATCTCATCATGCCTGAATCTGACAACAGTAACATTAAAACCATTTTGGTCCATTGTCAACATCACACCCGAACATATCTGAAGAAATACTATAGCGTGTTTCAGGAGGAGGGAGCGTCTCCAAATCTGAGGCCGCATGACATTTATGTGTATTAGTGGCTGAAAACCTTTCAAGATAGAAAGAACCAGGCCCAGATGGTTTCACTGGAAAATTCTGCCAAATACTCAAGGAAGAAATAATACCAATTCTCCACACTCTCTTCCAGAAAACAGAAGAGGAGGCACACCTCCTCACTCATTCTGTGAAGCCAGCATCGCCCTAATACCAAAGCAGACAGAAACATGGCGAGAAAGCTCCCCACTTCCCACATGGACACAGACACAAAAATCCTTAACAAACATTAGCAAATTGAATCAGGATCAAGCGGGGTCCACGTCAGGAATGCCACACAGGCTCAACATCCATCAGTGTTACTCATATGAACAGACTTAATAAGAAAAATCATATGATCGTATCAACAGATGCAGAAAAAGCATTTACACACGTACCTGGAAGATATTTGTGGGTTCGGTTCCAGACCCGCCACAGTAAAGCAAACACAGCAAAAACGAGTCAAATGAATTTTTTGAGTTTCCGGTGCATGAAAGTTACGTTTTCACTATACGGCAGTCTAACATGTGTGCAATGATGTATGTCTAAAAAAGCCCAACAAGGTACATTTGACTCTCGCACAACACAAGCTTGAACCGTGCGGACTCACTCATGTGTGGGTTTTTTTTGATAAATAGAGTATGGTACTATATGTATATTTTCTCTTCCTTATGATTTTCTTAATAATATATTTTTCCTTGGGCGCCTGGGTGGCTGAGTCGGTTAAGCCTCTGCCTTCGGCTCAGGTCATGATCCCGGGGTTCTGGGATCGAGCTCCGCATCGGGCTCCCCGCTCAGCGGGGAGCCTGCTTCTCCCTCTGTCTCTGCCTCTCTCTCTCTCATGAATAATAAAAAAAAAATCTTAAAAAAATAAGAAAAACATATTTTTCCTCTACCTTACTTTACGAATATAGTATGTAATATACAAAACATAAAAAAAAATTTGTTAATCGATTGTTTACATTGTCAGTAAAGCTTCTGCTCAACAGTAGGATATTAGCAAAGTTTCTGGGGAGTCAAAAGTTATACAGAGATTTTCGACAGCCTGGGGGGGGTTGGTGCCCCCAGCCTTAATTAAAAAATATTTTAGGGCGCCTGGGTGGCTCAGTCGGTTAAGCAACTGCCTTCGGCTCAGGTCGTGATCCTGGAGTCCTGGGATCGAGTCCCGCATCGGGCTCCCTGCTCGGCAGGGAGTCTGCTTCGTCCTCTGACCCTATCCCCTCTCATGTGTTCTCTCTCTCTCATTCTCTCTCTCTCAAATAAATAAATAAAATCTTTAAAAAAAAATTTTATTGCTAAAAAAATGCTAACCATCATTTAAGCTTTCAGCAAGGTGTAATCACTGATGACACAGCACCATCACAAATAAAATAATAATAAATTTATTATAAATAATAATCCCAAGAATTTCCAAAATGTGACACAGAGACACAAAGTGAACACGTGCTGTTGGCAAAATGGAGGTGACAGACTTGCTGGATGCAGGATTGCCACACACAAAAAATGCAGTATCTGTGAAGCTCAATACAGTGAAACATGAGTGGGGTATGCCTGTTTACAAAATTCAACAACTATTCATGATAAAAACTCCCCCAAAGCTAGAAAAATAGAAGATAACATACAAAAACCAACAGCTGACCTCAAACTTAATGGTGAGGGACTGAACACTTTCCCACTAAGATCAGGAGAAAAGAACAAGGCAAGCATGTCTTCTCTCGCCTTTCCTACTCAACACTGTACCAGAAGTTCTAGTTAATGCAATAAGGCAAGAAAAAGAAACAAAAGGCATACAGACTGGAAAGGCAGAACTAAACCTGTCTTTATTTGCAGACAACATGATTGTCCATGTAAAAAACTCCAGTCCACCAAAAAACCCATTGGAACTAATATGCAAGTCTAGCAAGATCTCAGTCAATAGCTTTCCTATTATATGCCATCAATGAATAACTGAAATGGGAAACCAAACCAAACCATTTAAATGGCATTAAATTTTAAAAAAGGATATATATGCAAAAAACTTGTTTATAAAACACTATATGCAGAAAACTACAAAGCAATGATGGAAAAAATCAAGCCGCTCTAAATAAATGAAGAGTATTGTATGTTCATGGATAGGAAGACTGAGTATTGACAAAAATGTCAATTCTTCCCAATCTGATCTATGGATACAACACAATCCCAATCAAAATCCCAGCAAGCTTTTTTTTTGGGGGGGGGGGAGTAAATATTGACAAACTGATTCTATAATTTATAAAGCAAAGGTACTAGGACAACCAAAGAAATTCTAAAAAGAAGAATAAGGTTGGAAGACTTGATTTCATGATCTATCAAGTTGTATGAATCAGGATAGTGTGGTATTGACCAAGTGACAGACGCTCAGATCATGTTATATCTATTTTACCACAATAAGAATAATTGAAAAAAAAAAAAAGATAAGGCTTCCTGCCCTTGGGAGCTCATGGTCTTGGGGGGATGGAGATAAGTCCTATAATCAGATAAATTACAATGTAATGCTGCATGAGCTACGTAGTACTATGAGTAAATTGTGCATTAAGAGCCCAAAAGGTGGGCATGGCTGTCCTGGATGCAGGGTCATGGAGGAGGTAAGATGTGGGCTCTGGAGAAGGCCTGCCTGCTTGACTCTTGCCTGTGCTATTCACTAATGTGTGACCTTTTATGGAACTGCACCTGCCTCAGTGTCCCACCTACAGGAGCATCTGTCTCCACAGGATTCCTGAGAGGGCTCAATGAGTCAACACATGGAAAATGCCTGGGGGCGCCTGGTGGCTCAGTTGGTTAAGTGTCTGATTCCTAATTTCAGGTCAGGTCATGATCTCAGGGTTGCAAGATCGAGTCCCGCGTCGGGCTCTGCGCTTGGCACGGAGTCTGCTTCTCTCTCTTTCTCCCTCTCTCTCTTCCCCTCCCCCTGCTTGCATGTGCTTGCTCTCTCTAAATAAATAAATAAAATCTTAAAAAACAACAAAAAAAGAAAATGCTTGGCGCATAGTCAACACGAAAAAATATTTTTCATACTATTAAACTCAAATCAACTCTAAGTAGCCCTCATAAAGTTTGTACAGCAGAGCAACTCAGTTATGCCTAAGGAATCATTCTGATGCCCTCTTAAAATCCAGAGTTGTAAAGACCTCCCCGTCCTGATCTCTGTGTGTGGTGACTGTTTGGGTGGCTTACTCCGCAGGCAACACCCTCACAGACTATATGATTCAGCACGAGGGTGTTCCCTTCACCAGGACAGAAACACACCAACGCTCGGAGGACACACATTCTGGCTGTTCTTCCAGTAACGGCCATGATATTACCTGTCCTCTCTCACCAATTCTTTCTGTGAGGAGTTGCTCACACTTGTGATAGGATGGGCTAAACCTCTCTGTCACACTGTGGCCAAAAAGGAATGCATTCTAAAATTGGGAGAACATGTCAAGCTTTCACTTAAAAAATAATCTCATCCTTGCTAATATGCCACACCCAGAAACCTGTATTTACTTGGATCTGCACCTGTAAGTGAATTTTTTCCCCTCACTAATCTTCCAATAGACTTTGATCAAAGACCTGGGGTTATTACTGCTGCCAGTTCTGACTGTATATATTTTAGAAGTATCCTGTGTAATTAAGAACTATTTTTCAATCCACATCAAGGTACAGCAAAGCAAATTTCATAATGTAGGAAGTTTCTGTTTTGTTGGTGGCACAAGTTAGTTAAATTGCTCACAAACATCCCTAAATGCTTTTGAGATTAATTATTATGCTTGTCTCACAGTATCTCCTCACAGACATCTGTAAAAATGAAACTGCTGGCTCTGACAATTGGTTCAACAAGATGATCTCATTCCTAGCTTTCACTAACTCCTGCCTTATGTCAGATAAAATATAGGGAAAAAACGTTAAATTAAAAAAGAAGCAAATGTTAGCTGCAACACGACAAAGAAAAACATATTCTGTGTATACTATTGTCTACCAAGTTCTCATTTTTTTTCTTGGATTCCTTATGTTTAATTATCTGTTGTTACTTGTTAGCTGTTCAGTGTTTCAGAAGGGAAGATAAATCAGGCTCTTTTTACTCCATCTTGGCCAGACATGTGTGTCACCTCCTTTCTAAATTCTCTAGCCTCTTATTTATGTGACAGGGACATCTGTTTCTTTAAAAGTTTCATAGAATTTGGACTTACTGGGATTTTTTGCATGCATGACTACATTTTTAAACAATGAATTTGATTTCTTTAATGGATAAAGTTCTATTTCGTTTTGAGTGAGTTTTGGAGAAATACATTTAGTATTTGAAGAAATATATTTACATTTCTTTAGAAAATTGCTCATTCTGTTTTAAACATATTGGTGTAACACTGTTCATAGTACTGACGTTTCTATGACAGCTGGACTTTTGCTTTTTCATTTCTCAGATTCCCCACATCCTCTGAGGGTTACAGACCTGTGGCTCACTGTGACTTCCATTTGGATTTTCCCAATCACTGATGAGACTGAACATCTTTTTAAATGTTTATGAGCCACTCGTGGTTTGCCTATTCTAGCCTTTGATAATTTTCTACTAAGTTGTGTTTTTATTATTAGTTAGTAGAAATTATTTATAGATTATCTGTCTTCTCTTTACTTTTTATGCAGTTCTGTTATGATGTGTCTGGGTAGGTATTTTGCATGATTCATCTTGTTTGAGGTTCATTAAGAACCTATGGTCTTTCATCATTCTGGAAAAACTTCAGGCACCATTTCTTCAAATATTCTCTCTCCCATTCTTTCTTTCCTCTTCTTCTGGAATTCCCATTGGCCATGGGACTTAGAAATTGTCTGGTTTTATCTTCCATTCGCTTAAGCTCTGTAACAGACACTATCAGTTGGTTAATCTAATAGTTATTCCCAACCTGTCTATCCCTTGTAGGCTTCCTGCTAAAGAGAATGGAGAATATAAATTGCTTACTTTCTCAAATTCCCTCACAGCTGGGGTGACCATGTAACAAGAGTACTGCCAATGAACTGAGGGGCTCTGGGAAGCCTTTTGATTTCCTTGTCAAAGGGGGAAGATATGAGGCACTTGTTCTATCCTTTCCCCCTCCTTCCTGTCCAGCAGATGGGAATGATGTCTGGAGCACGGCAGCCATGTTCAACCACAGAGGACATGGGGACAAAGAGCCAACAGATTAAAGATGGTGGAGTGTAGATAAGACACACTCTGGAGTCCTTGATTACAATACTGAACAGTGAACCAATCCTGAAACTACTTCTGGACTTCTCATTAAAAAAAATAAAATTAACAGCTTTATGGTTGAAGCAACTATTATTAGTTGGGTTTTCCATTTCTTGAATTTGTCTTTTTTTAAAAAAGATTTATTTATTTATTTGAGAGAGAGCACACACATGTACATGAGTGTGTGTGTGTGTGGGGGGGTAAGGGCAGAGGGGGTCTCATGACCCTGAGATCTTGACCTGAGCCAAAATCAAGAGTTGAACACCCGACAGACTGAACCACGCAGGCATCCCCCCATTTCTTGAATTTGAATACATACTAATACAATCCCTCTATTATATTTTCCACTTTTTAAATGTCTGTTTCATGTTCTGGATAATCTCCTTAGTTCTATTTTCCAGCTCAGTAGTTCTCTCTTCTGCTATATCTAATCAGTTTTTCAATCCGAGGGGCTTTTTTAATTTCTAATTTTTATTTCTACTAGTTTCATTTGATTCTTTTTCCAAATCTTTTTTTTAATAGTACCACGGTCCTTATGATTTTTATTTCCTCTTTTACCTCTTTAATATGTTTAAACATAGTCTTTTGTAGTCTCTTATTATTTTATTATCCCACATTCTGGTAGCTGATCCTCTTGTTTGCTCTATCTGCTGATTAGCTCAACTAGATCATTTTCTTGAGTGTTTTGTAATTTTGGATTGTGAATGTATTTTCAGTGGCCATTGTACCACGAGCCCAGAAGATTTGTGCCTCAGATAGTATAAACTAGGGGCTTCTTACAGCACAGATATAAATTTGAACTCCAAACCTCATCTGGCCCAGTTTTCTTTTCTTGCAGATTTTCCTTTTTTTGGCCACACACACACACAATCTAAGGTGGAAACCAAGCTTCTGTATCACTTCCCTTGACTGGCGGGTAGAGCTGTTTATTTTCCCCTTCGCTAAGAAGAACATCATTTTGTGACCTTGGGTTTTGTGCAAGGGTCTCAGTACTAATGTTCTGTCTACGGGAGCTCAGCACCTTGCTCTTGTTCCTGTGTGGGCATTAAATAAAACCTATACCCATTAGGGAGCCTTTTACTATGAGCCCTCTACCAGCACTCCCAGGCCCACTTCTGAGGCTTGCCAGTCTTAGTTTATGCCTCGTGGCTCTGGTTTTCACTTCTCTTTGAATTTCTGACATCTGGCCATCTCCCATTCTTTCTTCTGACCACACCTATGTGTTGATATTTTTATAATTACATTTCATCCAGATTTCTAGGTGACTTGAACAACAGGGCTTTAATAATGCAGTCCACTGTGCTTCCAGATATGAAATTTATCCACAATGAAATCTTTGAAAAAACTCTAAATCATATGTGGCTAGACAACTGAATTAAAAAAAAAATTTTTTTTTTTGAAAGAGGCTCCACACCCAGTGCATAGCCCAATGCGGGGCTTGAACTCACAGCCCTGAGAATTGAGACCTGAGCTGAGATCAAGTCAGATGCTGAACCGACTGAGCCACCCAGGTGCCCCAGTAATATTTTCATATTTGGGATCATGAGAAACAGATCTTTAGCAAATGGATTTTAATGTGTTTTTTTTTTTAAAGATTTGACAGAGAGAGACACAGCGAGAGAGGGAACGCAAGCAGGGGAAGTGGGAGAGGGAGAGGCAGGCTTCCCGCGGAGCAGGGAGCCCAACGCGGGGCTCGATCCCAGGACCTGGAATCATGACCTGAGCTGAAGGCAGACGCCCAACGACTGAGCCACCCAGGTGCCCCCATAATTAGTTTTTGATATAGTGTTCAGTGATTCATTAGTTAAGTATAACACCCAGTGCTCATCACAGCACGTGCCCTCCTCAATACCCATCACCCTGTTACCCCCTCCCCCCACCCTCCTCCCCTCTGAAACCCCCAGATTGCTTCTCAGGGTCCATAATCTCTCATGGTTCATCTCCCTCTCTGATTTCTCCCCCTTTGGATTTCCCCCCCCTTTCCCCTATGGTCCTCCGTGCTAGTGCTTATGTTCCACATATGAGTGAAACCATATGATAATTGTCTTTCTGCTTGACTTACTTCACTTAACATAATCCCCTCCAGGTCCATCCATGTCGATGCAAATGGTGGGTATTCATCGTTTCTGATGGCTGAATAATATTCCATTGTGTATATAGACAACATCTTCTTTATCCATTCAACTGTTGCAGGGCATCTCAGCTCCTTCCACAGTTTGGCTGTCGTGGACATTGCTATGAACATTGGGGTGCAGATGCCCCTTCTTTTCACTACGTCTGTATCTTTGGGGTAAATACCTAGTAGTGCAATTGCTGGGTTGTAGGGTAGCTCTATTCTTTTTTTCTTTTTTTTAAAGATTTTATTTATTTGACAGAGAGAGACACAGTGAGAGATGGAACACAAGCAGGGGGAGTGGGAGAGGGAGAAGCAGGCTTCCCGCGGAGCAGGGAGCCCGATGCGGGACTCGATCCCAGGACCCGGGGACCATGACCTGAGCCGAAGGCAGATGCTTAACGACTGAGCCACCCAGGCGCCCCGTGGATTTTAATGCTTTGTAAGAAATTGTTCAGTAGATGCCATAAAGTTCTTTCTCCTATAAGTAGAATCAAGTATCACAAGGACATAAAACAGGATACTTACCAGGCTGGGTTTGATGCCTACACTTTCAGTTGCTTCAAATGCCAACAAGAGATTCCTTTTCTAGGTTAAAAGGACAGAGACTGGAATTATCAACTAAGAACACAGAGCTTTTGAAAAAAATAAAAATAAATATAAAAATATATAGTTTTTGCCAGGAAAGAACACCAAATGCCACTCCCATATAGATATTTATATCTTATAAAACACTTAAATTTTTTTTTTTTAAAGATTTTATTTATTTATTCATGAGAGACAGAGAGAGAGGCAGAGGGAGAAGCAGGCTCCCAAGGAGCAGGGAGCCCGATGCGGGACTCGATCCCAGGACCCTGGGATCATGACCTGAGCCGAAGGCAGACGCTTAACCATCTGAGCCACCCAGGCGCCCCCCTTGATGACTTTTTTTTTAAAGATTTTTTATTTATTTATTCATGAGAGACAGAGAGAGAGAGAGAGGCAGAGGGAGAAGCAGGCTCCCAAGGAGCAGGGAGCCCGATGTGGGACTCGATCATGGGATCATGACCTGAGCCGAAGGCAGACGCTTAACCATCTGAGCCACCCAGGCACCCAAAACACTTAAAATTTTAAGTCAAATATGCTAAACAGGGTTTCAGTCCAAGGAAGAAAATGACTGACAGGTTAAATAATTAAAATGACGTTACCGATTGATTCCGGACTATCAAAGATAAATATTTGTTAGCTCAGTTATTTTTTACTTTGCCACGATTTATGACATACACATTCTGTTGTGTATCAAGAGTTGTTTAATCACAGTGCTATATATACCATTTCCCCCTAGAATTCTAAAGGCACTGTTCCACATTTAGCCCGAATTTGCAGCTTCTTCTTGAGACGCTTTCTGGCTCCTCTGATGTTTCCTCACCTGGATGAACTTAAGGATCACTTAATCCTGCCTCCTCCCCTCCATAGTTCATTTGAGAGTCATTAGGATAACATCAAAATTTAGTTAGATTGGTATATTAAGTTTAATCAAGAAAGTCATGTTCCTGTAAGTAATATTCGCGTTTTATGTTCCCCAGTAGAATTTCACGATTTTATGCATTTGGATTTTACGCATTTGGATTTGATAAATAATGTTATCCCTTTTTCCATTTCCGCATGGCCTCCACCCTCTGTCCTTGGGTGCACATTTGCTTCCTGAAGCTGGGTGGGCCCCGCCCTGAGACTGAAGCAAACTCTCTGCCCTAGGTACTAGGTCACAGAAAAAGAGAAAGACGAGGCTGTGCACGTTTTCTCCCAGGCTGTGGTCGGGGCCTGGGAAAGCTGTTGATCTGTGGTCATCTTGCCCAAGCCACCAGCCCTCTTCCTCCAAATTAAGGGAAATTTATGGGCATGAAGTGGAAACCTTGTGCTTGTTTCCATAACACTGCTCTCTGTTCTGCTGAGACAGGAGCTCTAAGTTGGCTCCTGACTTCCTTTAATTGAGCCCAAACCTGCGGCAGACATCTCCTATCTTGTGCTTATTTTAAAGTCCCTTTTGATTAGTTTTGAGGGGGAATGGGGGACTGTCAGCCAGTTTTTCGGCTACCATTATTCCAGAAGTCATGGCATTTGATATGCAATGCCAGCTTGTTTTCTAAAATGCTACACCTGGGGCACCTGGCTGGCTTAGTTGGTGGAGCACACGACTCAATCTCAGGGTCGTGAGTTCAAGCCCCATACTGGGCATGGAGCGTACTTAAAAAAAAATAAATAGAAGGCTGCACCAATTTTCAATTCCAGCAATAGTGTGTAAGGGTCCATTTTCTCACACTTTTACCTGCATAGACTATTATGACCAAGCACTGTTGCCTAATTCTTTCATTGCAACGGTGTCAGGCCCCCGTGAGGCCAGGGGGTGGGGGGTGGAGAAAGCTGCCACTTACAGGGAGCAGGGGGGAGTGTGCCCAGGGCGGAACCGAGAGGTTCCCAGAGCCCTTCCAGCCCCAGGATAGCATTAGCCCCTGGTAGAGATCTTGGTGTTGGCCTCAGTAGCAGCGCATCTCACCTAAAACTGACAGCAGAAAGCATCCCACGTCCAGAAAATTTCTCCTCTCACGTTAAAATTTTGTTTCAGACACTGACACGAAAACACTCCATTCTATCACCTGAATCTGAGTAGCCTATGTGGAAGTTTCATGGGCTGACAGATAAATATGCTTTCTGTTGAAAAAAATGCCCAAACCTTCCACTGACTGTAACTCATGTCTCTTTCACCCTTCGAAGACGTCCTTGTTAGTTTTATCAGAAATTCCCTATTTAATACTGATGTCCAACCGACTTGGTTTCATTACATCCATCTGGGTAGATGGAACAGCTCATGATTTCTGAACTTCCCGGGCTATCATTAATCTCACAGACCCGCAGTCTTCCACAGTCTGACTTGGGTGCTCCCTGAAAACAGCATCCTAGATTAGAGGGAAGACATTCAACCCTACGTGTAGAGACCACGGGCCCCTGTACCACAAGGACAACGGGAAGTGAGTAAATGGTGGTGTCTGGGTGTTGCATGTTTCCAAATGTGTAGCCAGTGACCAGGGCAGCTGGGCTGTGAGGTGTGTGGAAACCATGGAGACCCATGGCAAGACACCACACTTTCATAAGGAAGCAGCGCTCATGATTCAAAGTGTGAAAGCAAACACTTTTAGGTTCGTTATTTTCCAACAGATCCAGAGTGATCTGAGGACGAAGAGCCTAGGTGTGTTTTGCATGAGAGCAGACAAACATTTCACACCTTCAGGAAGATTCCTGTTTTAGATAGGGTATGCATAAGTGCGGAGACTTCTATTTATGATAGTTTTAGTGAGGTCCTCCTCCGATGATTCTGAATTGTTTTATGCCCACTCTTGACTCAATTATCTTCATAATATCACATGGAAAAGACAGAGGCTGCAAAGTGAAGAGAAGGGACACGGAGGTCACTGCTAGAGGTGGGCTCTGTCTGCGAGGGGCTTGATGCACAGGCTGTGGGTACCCCACATGGCCCCAGCTTGTCTCCTCCTTTCTGGCTGCTCCACTCTGGTTCCCTTTGCTGGGTCACTCTCTCCCTAGACGACAAGCATTGGAGTCAAGGTTCCTTAGCCTTCTCTCTATGCCTCTGTGATATTGTGATTTATAGCAAGAAATATACATTTGGTCTTTGTCCACAGTTCCTGGCACAGGGCTCCTAAAACCCTTATCATTTCCCATATAAGAGCTATAGGGGCATCCTTTATTACGATCTTTGGTTTTTGTCCTCAGTTCCAGAAATGGCTTCAGAACAACAAAGTTGGAATAGATGTCTTCTGTTACTCGTAACAAACCTCTCTCTCTCTTTTTTTTTTTAAAGATTGCAACATCTCTCTCTTTTTTTTTAAAGACTTTATTTATTTATTTGAGAGAGAGAGAAGGAGAGACAGTGAGAGAGTACAAGTGGGAAGGAGAGGGAGAAGCAGGCTCCCTACTAAGCAGGGAGCCCGATGCGGGGCTCGATCCCAGGACTCTGGGATCATGACCTGAGCCGAAGGCAGACGCTCAACCAACTGAGCCCCCCAGGCGCCCCAACAAACCTCTTTCAACCGCACCTGAGTTTATGTTAAAGAGGTGTTTTTCAAAAAACCCCAGATAACCTAAGGATGCGGGCTGGCTGCTAGGGGAACCAGCCATGTGATTAGAAGGTTGGAACTTTCAGGCCCATATCCCCTGACCCCAACCTCGGGGAGGGGAGACAGACTGGAGACTGAATTCAATCACCAATAGCCAATGGTTTAATCAATCGTGCCTATGTAAGGAAGCCTCCATTAAGCTCAAAAGGATGGGGTTCAGAAAATGTGTGTTGGGAGGGTGGTGCACCCCAAGGTCCAAGGGGACAGAAGCTCTTTCGCTCGGGACCCTTTTGGACCTCACCCTAGGGGTCTCCTCATCTGGCTGGTCATTAGTGTCCTTCAATATCCTTTGTAATAAACTGGTAACCTAGTAAGTACTGTTTTCCTGAGTTCTGTGAGCCACTCTAGCAAATTAATTAAACCTAAGGAAGGGGCCATGGGAACCTCCGGTTTAGTCGGTCAGTCAGAAGCAAGGTGACAACTACATGGTCACCGGGGTCTGAAGTGAAGGGCACGGTCTTGTGGGACCGAGCCCTTAACCTGTGGGACCTGATGCTCATTCCAGGCGGACAGTGTCAGAACTGAGTCACACTTGAGAATACCCAGCTGGTATTGCAGAACTGCCCGGTATGGGCAAAACCCGCCATCTGTTTATAGAAGTATCAGAAGTGAAATGCTGGGAGCAGAGTGGATACAGACGAGTTTCTCTTCAGAGCTTCCCTTAGGACCTGGGACCGAGGTGATCTCCACTCTCGTGGCTTTAAATACCATCTATACCCGCCCTGTTGGAGGCAGTAGCTACAACTGACACATGGCTATTTAAATCAAAAGTAATTAAGATTAATAATTCAATTTTCCAATCATTGAAAGCCACATTCATTAACGGTCCAATGGACTAGTGGCTACCATGTTGGATAGCGCAAATGTAGAACTAGAACTTTTCCATCATTTTGATTCACTTAGGCAGCCCTTACCTACTCCCTGATGACTCCCGAATCTGCCTTCCAGCTCTGAACTCCCCTCTGAATTCCACATTTATTATCCAACCACCTGCCTGACATTGCATGCTGCATACTTTAGGAACATCTCCCACTTAACATGATTAAGAACAGAACAGCTTTTCTGGTTTTGTTTTCCAAATGTTTAATGCTCCTGTCCAGCCTGCTTCACGGACTACCAACGCACAAATTTTCCGATTTTTATATGTTCTGTGATGGTTAATTCTATGTATCGACGTGGCTAGGTCACGGTACCAAATGTTTGGCCAAACATTATTCCAGATGTTTCTGTGAAGGTATTTTTAAGATGAGATTAACATTTAAATCGGCAGACTCTGGGTAAAGCACATCACCCATCATAGCATTAGGCCTTAATAGAAAAAGCCTGATCTCCCTCGAAGAAGAGGGAATTCTGCCAGCAAACTGCCTTCAGATCCAAACCGTGGCATTCAACTTTCTTGCGCACACACACACACCCTATTACTTCTGTTTCTTTGGAGAACCCTGACTAACACTGCAGAAAATTAAATCACTCCGTTCAGTTATTATCACCATCAGTGCCATGACCATGCACTGGGCTTTATAATCAAAACAGAACTTTCCAGCATTTCTATTCCTTCCCCATCTTGGAAAATGACCTGTCAGGCTAGACATGCCTCTCCCTCCTTCCTCGTGTCCTCCCCCACAACCAACCAGTTACTAAGTCCAGCGGATTCTACATCTAAGACCTATTCTGAATCTATCTCCATCTTTCTATCCACGATGCTACGGCCCCCGCCACAGCTAATGGCTGGAGTCAGGGACGCTAAGCCCTCACGTTGATGACTGCAGGGGCCTCCCATCTGGTAGCGCCTCACCCATTCTTGTTCCTTTTCCAGTTCTTTTTCTCACATAACAGCGAGAAAGATCTTTCAGAAACACGAATCGTGTGTCTCCACCATTTAGAATCCTTCAATGACTTCCCACTGAGTTTAGAGCAAGAGGCAGATTTCTTTCCAGAGCCCTCTGTGGAAGGCCTGCAGGGTCTGGCCCCGTCTGGCCCCCAGGACCATCACAGGCCACTCATCCCCGCTCACTGCACTCTGGCCAGTGGGCCCTCCTCCACGTTCCCCGACCACACCCAGGTGTTTTCTTGGTCAGGCTGCTCCCTTGCTCTGGAAAGCTCCCCCTAGCTCTTTGTATTACTGGCTCCTGGTTCATTCTGAAGAGTATCGCCTCTCAGAGAAGCCTTCTCAGCCTTCCTGATCTAAATTAGGAAACCTGTTCACTCCCATAGCATGAGGTTTCTCTCATAGCTCTTCTGCAATTTATTTATTTATAACATTACCTGTTACAGGTTTACTCACTTATGGACCTGTCTCTCTACTTTAGAGGGCAAAGAACAGGTCTACTTTGTTCACTGTTGTCTTTATTACTCTGCACGATGCTTGGCAAGTAATACTTGTGGAGAGAATGAGCGCAGGGCCCCGAACAGCATTTTCCAAAGTACGCTCTGTGGAATATGATTTTGTAGGATGTTCTAGGTCAGGGTTTGGCAAACTATAGCCCTCAGACCAAATTGGGCCCACAGCCTCTTTGTGTAAATAAAGTTTTTTTGGAACATACATGCCCATCCGTTTTGTCTCGGGCCACTTGGGCACTATCATGGTAGATGAGTAGCTGTGACAGAGACCTGTGGACCCACAAAGTCCACTATTTGGCCCTTAACAGGAAAATTTGCCAACTCTTGTAGGTAATTGTATTAAAAAATTCTGTGGATCTGATATATGTAGGGTTAAACAGAGTCACACAAGGTTTCTTTCATGTTTCTTTCATGTTCCTGAAGTCTTTACTGTGCTAATGAGCACTGTGAATCTCTAAGAATGTGACATAATATATAGTTTCCCAAGCTTATCTGAGCAGCGAGATCCTTTTCTTGGTGCTTCTGGTTCTTTTAGAAAAGACTGAAAATGCTGGCCAAGGTCTTAAAGCCACGACGGTAAAATTTCATCAAGGCTTTCTCTCAAAAAATGGGTGACAGTCACAGTAAACTGGTCTTCACTCCATTTTTCCAGGCCACCAGGGCAACTGAGAAGTATTTACCGAGGGTGAGATCCTACAGCCTTGTCATACACTCAGTAGCTATGTCTGCCTGGTACCAATATCCTGATTTCCACTAGGAGTCTATAAACACCACCCCATCTGGATGTACAGTATTATAGGAATTCCCCTTGCATGTTCTAGAGGATAACCAGGGGTGACTGGGCAGGTGACTTACTTTCTCCTGACTGTTCAGCTCCTGATATGGGATGTGGGCAGGCAGGTAGGTATGAAGGAGAGCACAAAAGGCCAAGCCATCACTCCAGCTGCTGCTGAAATTGGTGATATCAATGTTCTGTAGGGGGGGAAAAGCAGCATTAATCTCCAAACTGTGCAAGGGCAGAGAATACGAACGAGACAATGGGAAGATGGGTATCCACCTCTGGGTTTGCAGGAAGGCCGGATGAGAAACCACCCAAGACTGCCGGGAGTCCATTTAATTTTGGTACCAGCAATGGCCCGGTGTCACCCAAATCCACTCACAGAATCGCATGAAAAAAAGCCTTAAGGGCTCCCAACCCTGGGGAATTTCTGCCTACGTGGTGGTACGTGAAAAGCTCCGAGACATCTTATTCTCAAATCCACCCACTCAATTAGCTTTCTTTTAGCTTTCTTTCTTTTTTAAAGATTTATTTGTTTGAGAGAGAGAGAATGAGAGAGAGAGCACATGAGAGGGGGGAGGGTCAGAGGGAGAAGCAGACTCCCCGCCGAGCAGGGAGCCTGATGCGGGACTCGATTCCGGGACTCCAGGACCATGACCTGAGCCGAAGGCAGTCGCTTAACCGACTGAGCCACCCAGGCGCTCTCAATTAGCTTTCTATGTCCCAGCATTTCCCAGATTTATCTGGTCAAGGAGGAATCCTCATCATGATCGTCATGACGTATGACCCCAATTAACAACAGGAAGACCAAGACAAACCAAGATCTTAAAAACCTAGATGGCCTCTAGCGATGAGGTAGGTCAAATGGCTCGTTTTATAGGAAAGACATGGAGGAGGTGGTGTCCACACGTCACACACGGTGTACCTGGATGACGGACACTCCGGCAGGCCAAGTCCCCACCCTGTGGCCCTTTCTAGCAAACCTCTTCTGTTTTCTAGCCAGAGTCCAGGGTGACCCAGGTGGACCCTAGAACGTCCCCCCCAAAGCGCTGCCTTTCAGAAATGTCGGATTCTCCAGCCTGCTTTGCAATTACGTCTACCTGGGGGAAGGATCTCTGGCTGAGAGCAACACACAACCATAATAATGCCTTTTCATTCTGGTTTTCATGACTCAAGCACAACCAGATTTTAAGAGCTGCTAAGCATCCGTGTTACATAAAAGTCTGAGAATGCCCCGTCTCCGTTTTCGGGCTGAATGTGCACGAGCTGGGCCTCCTGGTAAGCTGATCATTTGCATTCTTGGCTTCAAAAAGTCTCCCTGGAGACTCTGGAGCTACCTGATGGGGCCTGGATGCTGCTTCAGAAATGGGACACACTGTAATTTTGTATTTTCTCAAGAGGTCTGCATGTTAAAAAAGAAGAGGAAAGACACAGGCGGGGGCCATGCCCTGTCCAGTTCACTTGAAGTCTCAGGCACTAGAACAGGATGCTCATCGGCTCATCGGGCCCTGGGAAGTGGGCGCAAGGAGCGGGGCTGGGCCAGCCTTCGGAAAACCAGTGCTTGTCGACACAGAGTCCCCTTTCTTTGGCATGTAGAGGTCGTCTGAGACCCTGTCTCCCAACCCATCTGTCACGGTACCTGTGACCTGGCAGAAGGAAAGCCGGACTTTCTTTCCAGGGACCGCTTGCTGATGGTTATTGTTCATGCTCAGCACTAGGGCATCTGTGAAAACGGGACAAGCACGCACCACACCTGGCAGTGTTCGCTCCGAAAGGCAACGTCGATGTACAGCTCATTTCATCGTCAAAGGAAACTGAGGCCGGAAGCAGTGGTGTTTCCGTCAGAAAGGCCACATTTTAAATAGAAAGCCAAACATTCAATGAATGACCAGGATGTAAGTCCCTGAAATATGAGTGCCGGGACATATCAAGCTCCAAAAATGGGGGCAGTGAGGGTGGTAAAATTCACTGAGTGTCTACAATGTGCCTGGTGCTGGGCAGTTCCTTATTTAATTCTCAGAATGACAATACATCGTAAGTAGCGCTGTACCCATTTCACAGATGAGGAAGCCAAAGCAGGAAGAAATATCACAGAGGCCAGAGTTAGGGGCAAAGTGCAGTTCTGTCCGACAGCAAAGCACATCATGTTTGCTGTCCTTCCTTTCTTTTTTTTTTCTTTCTTTTCTTTCTTCCTCCTCCTCTGCCTTCCTTCACAAATTTACTTCACGCCTAAAGTTTTTAAGTTTTGAGAAATCTTTCATTTCCTAAAACGTGGGAACATTTTACCCACTTATCTCCTGTACCTTTTTTTTTAATGATACAAAATGCCATTTTCCTTCATTTGCACGATCTTCAGAAGCATTCTGAGAGGCCAGACAGACCCAAAGGGGTGACGAGGCCATCAGTCTCACAAAACCAAGAAAGTGCCCAGTATTTCAGCTAACTGAGTGTCACCTAGGAGCAGTTTTGGAGTTAAGGATTTTATTTATTTATTTGAGACTGAGAGCGAGAGAGCACAGAGGGAGAGGAAGAGGGAGAAGCAGGTTTGCCGCTGAGCAGAGATCCCGACGTGGGGCTCGATCCCAGGACACTGAAATCATGACCTGAGCTGAAGGCAGATGCTTAACTGACCGAGCCACCCAGGCGTCCCCACAGGAGCAGCTTCTGATCTATAAGTATAAATGAGCAACAGGTTGAGACTATAAAATCTGGTTGAAAAAAATCAGTCTAAACGACTCACAACGTCAGGAGAGTTCAGACAGCCCGGAAGCTTCTAGACAGACGGCAGCTCGCGGGCCTTTCCAGAAAACGTGAAGCACACTGTAAAGCAGACCCTGGCACTTCAGCAGCAAGACCACACCAACACTACACAAGAAATAGGAGCAGTGCCCTATCTTAAAAAAAAAAAAGGGGAATTATGGAAATTCCAAATCTAGGCAGGTTATCAAATCCAACATCCAGGTCAGGAAATGCTTCTTTCATGTAACCCACAGCCACCATGTTTAAGACTTGGAGTTCTTCTGACACTGGAAGAGATGGATGACAACCAGCTGTGATCTGCAGCATTATACTCATTCCAAGAACATGTAGCTATTGAGTAAAAACTTTACCCTTCTTAGGATAAAGTGGAACATCTCAATTCTAGTTCCCTGAATGTCATTTGAAATCCTAATTCCATTGGAACGACAAGAGTATCAACAACACCCAAGTCAACACAGCTGGTTGAACAACTGAAAACATGCGTACGTTTATGATACCTCAAGTAAGAGGATGCAAAGGACTATACACATCTCAGTGGTAGCTTTGTAGCGATGGTTAATACAAAAGCAGTTCATTTCTGCTCATTGAGGTATCTTTTTGGGAGCTGTATGATATAACTTAGTGCATGAGGAGTTAGCTGATGTGGGGTGCCACACTTTGAGGCAGGGTGTGTGGGTCCCAGCGAAATGGGCTAAGACACAGTATGGTTGTGGCCACCTGTGAGGGAGGACAAGGTAGCCACGGCAGAAAGGGGCTCATGTGGACTGGACCAATGCACTGGGTAACAGGCAGAAAGACAACAGTTTCTTGGGCATGGCTAGCTGGCCAATCCTAGGAACCCCAGGAAAAAAGCGAGGACTAATTCCAGGTCCTACCCCTAAAATGTGGGTGAAAACTTTTATTTTTGGTTAGGGATGATCAGGATTGGCTTGGCCTTGCATGGGGGGAGGTGGCTCTTGCTGAGCTTGTGGGTTATAGTCCTCAATGTGCACAGATGAACCTCTAACTTAGGACAAAAACAGAGGCTAATAATACAAACACCCCCAAGGGGTGTTAGTTAATATCTTCCTTCTCCCAATTATCATTCAGCTGAATTCTTAGGGGGTTCATCAAAAGAATAAGAGGAAAAACAGAAAATGATCAACAAGGCCTTCTACAAGGCATATCGTCAGTTATTTTCCTTGTTATTTACTCCTGAATAAAATCGAGTAGGATAATTGTTATCTTTAACTGGAAGTTAGTAATGGGCCAGGAGCAGACAGGATTCTGGGGGTGCTAGCAATGCTGTGTTTCTAGACCTGGATGTTAACTGCATGGGTACCTTCGTGTTGTGAAATTTCATGGAATGGTACACTGGCATGTTCTATCTCAGTAAGAAAGGGAGGGAGGGCGGGAAGAAGGAAAACAGAAAAGAAAGATGGGACTGATCCTCTTAAGGGACTGCACTGTGGCTGTTAAAAAAGAGAGCGAACTTTTTGGATTTTATGTCCTATAAGAGTTACCGAGGGGAAAAAGAGCAAAAAAGAAACTTCTTGCTGATTATTTCCCCAAGGGAAATGGTAATTACTCGTTGCAAATTATCTTTAACTTTCTCTGGGATATAAATACGTTAGAGATATTTCTGAGTGGAAAAGAAATCTGGGGAAAGGAAGTCTCACATATACACATATATGGTACATGGTATCAGATATATATATATATGGTAACATTCCAAGCACCTCCAAAACAGGTTAAGTTTCTATAGAAGAAAATTTTGTAAGATACGGAATTTTGTCTTCAGTGCAGCAAAAGTCATTTGAGAAAAGTGAATACGCTGAAGAGTATTTACATGAGAAGCTAAGCTAACTTCAGCGACTATCCAAGAATATTCCCTCGAGTGGCTGAGACTGTAGACAAATAAAGCTCTACAGGGGTGAATGTGGAGGTAGCACTCGTAAATAACATGGGGGGACAAAAGCAAAGCAAAACCCAGCAATCTACAGCACTTGCTTCTAGAAGGTTCATTCCATTTGCCTTTTGTTGCCTGGAAACACCAGGGCTTGGTGAAAACATCAAGGGCTGGAGAGAGAAGCTGCAGAGTGCACGCTGAAATGGGTCCCGTGCTCAATTCCGCGGAGGCTGCAGCTGGATTCTATAGTTGTCTGACCTCAATCCCACCACTTCATCTTTTCTGAGGCTCTCTAGCTTCCTCCATTAGATTTCTGTGAATGGGTTGACTCTGTGTACACTAAACTCAAAAGTCTAAAAAAAAGTTAAAAAGAGAGAAACCCCAAAGCTTCCGGGAAGAAGTCAGGAGACTGATAAGAAAATGTAGTCTGTTGGTCTAGGAAGACGGTAGAGTAGAATCCTCAGTGGACACACCAAGGCTGCAGACTACACCCAGAGCACCTCCCTCTGAAAATGACCCAAAAACCAACAGAACAGCTCTTCCCCA